AGACCAGAAGAGGGCATCATATTCCCCTCAAGTGGAAGTACTGACTTGTGATCCACCACATGGATGCTGGGAACTGAACCCAGGTTCTCTACAAGAGCAAGTGTTCTTAACTGCTGAGCCATCTCTCCAGCCTCAACTTTTCAGATTTTCAAACAAGGTCTTACTGTGTAGTTTAGACTGGTCTAGAACTTGGAGTCCTACTTCCTCGGCCTTCTGAGTGCTGTGATTATAGGCATGCACCTTAAAAAGGGATATTACCCACCGCACTCCCCAGACCCACCTGCTATTCATCTAGTCTGCCTATCGCAGTAAATGACACTAATGTTCCTCAGTTGCTTGGGCTAAAACCTTAAATGTGTCTTCATGATCATGTCCTATTCAGTACGTTAATAAATTTTGTAGGTTTATGTCCAAAGTATATATAGACTCCAGATAGTTCTTAAAATCCCACTACCACCACTCAGGCCCAGGCTCTTCTCTTGCCTGGAACATTGCGTTTATGGTGTATTCCTAACACAAAAAGTGGGGTGATTTGTTTTATCTGTCTTTTTGTTTTTTGAGACAGGGTCTTCCTGTATTCCCAGATGGCCTGGAACTCAGCACGTAGATCAACCTGGCCTCCATTTCCATTTCACAGATATCCACCTGCCTCTGCCTCCTGAGTGCTGGGATTAAAGATGTATACCACAATGCCTAGTCCTGTTCTTAAATGTCTGCAATTTCCAGCACTTCTCAAACCTAGTCATTTCATTCCATAACCCCAGCCAATGCAAATAAGCATCTAAAGTAGACATTGCACAGACATCAGGAGTGAAACCCACATCAATGAATAATGAGCCTACATGTCACTGAGTCACAGACTTAGCACTTAAATGAAAAGACATAATTTTTAAAATGTGTAAAGGGTTCCTTTTTCCATACATCTTTACCAACATTTCTTATTTTTTGTTGATGATAACCATTCTGACTGGAGTTAAGATAGAATCCTAATGTAATTTTGATTTGCATTTCCCTGATGGCTAAGGATGTTAAACATTATTTATTGGCCATGTGTATTTCTTCATTTGAGATAGGGTATCCCTTTGTTGTCCGTACTGTCTTAAACTGAGCTCAAGCAGTCCGCCTGCCTCCTTAGCCTCCTGAATTCTGGAATTATAAGTGTGTTGCCATTCCTGGCTGCTCATGCCATCTTTTATCTTAATCTCTTTATATGTGCTATATTCTCTCTGTAGAACATCTTCCTCTAAATGAATTTCCATTCAGTCAAGATTTGCCTAATATGTCTAATAATTATAGCTAATATCATAAATATTTGCCTTCTCTTGTCAGAGCACCTCATATACATGTATGTTTGTCTGTTGGGGTCATACCATGTTGCCCAGGCTGTTCCAGAGTTCAAGATTCTCCAGCCTCAGCCTCCCAAGTAGCTGGAATTACATGTATATACCACAGTAATCGTGTGTGTGTGTGTGTGTGTGTGCGTGTGTGTGCGTGTGTGTGCGTGTGTGTGTGTGTTATTAAATGAATAAAATGGAGTGACATGTTTAGAATGGTGCCTGCTACTCCATATTTTCTAAGTGTTAGGCCTTTCTTGTTCTCTTACCTGTCATAAAAATTCTACCTTCTTTTTTAACAAAAATCACTACATTTTATTTATTGTGTGTGCATGCACGCACTACACCATTTGTATCAGAAGACTACTTGTGGGACTGGTTCTCTCCTTCCACCAGGTATCCCAGGAATCAAACTCAAGTAAGCAAATAGACTTGGTGGCAAGTACCTTTACCTGCTGAACCATCTATGACCAGCCTGTCTCAAAAAAACCAATAGTAATAATAATAATAATAATAATTTTAAGTATTCTGTTTAGTGACCATTAGCAAATATTCAGAATGGTTTAACCTTTATAACAATCCATTTGAATATACATCCCATTGCATGCAAAAAAGTCAGTTTAATCTTTTTTAAATATTTATTTTTATTTTATGTGTATATGCATATTGCCTGCATGTGTATAAGTATACCTGTGTCATGCTATGTCTGCAGAGTTTAGAAGAAGGGGTTAGATTCTCTGGAACAGGAGTTAAAGATGGTTGTTAGCCGCCATGTGGGTGCTGGCAACTGAACCAGGTCCTCTGCAAGAGCAGCCAGTGCTCTTAACTGCTAAGCAACCTCTCCAGTCCCCCTACCCCAAGAAAATTTACCTAATTTCTTACAATGTATTACTATATCATTAATTGTTAGAGCTTTAAAGAACTATATAGATTAAAAACTGACACATTAACAGAAGTTTGGTGGCCACTGGCTGGAAATTAAGTAACTATTCACTGGCAAGTGCTAGACCTTATACCCCATTAGAGTAAGGAACATGTCTAAACCCTAGTGTAGTGATATAAGCATGGCAAATGGTTTTTAATAAGGTTCGGGTGTGTTCAAGTATGTCTGTAGTCCCAGCACTTGGGAGGCAGAGGCAGGCAGATCTCTGAGTTGGATGTCAGCCTCATGTTCACAATGAATTCCAGGCCAGCCCAGGCTATTCAGTGGGCCCCTGTTTTAACCCCCCTCTTCCCCCCCCCCGCCCCCCCCCCCCACACCCACCCCAAAAAAAAAAAAAGTTTGGGAATTTTGTATTTATTTAAGCCTCACTGTAAACTTTAGAAGTAGGTAGAACCAAGCCTGGTGGCACAGGTTTGTAATCCCAACTTCCTCAAGAAACTGAGGCAAGAGGATAACAAGTTCAGTGCAAGCCTGGGCAAGTGTAAGACCCAGTCTCAAAATAAAAAGCAGGCCTGAAGAGATGGCTCAGCAGTTAAGAGTACTGACTGCTCTTGCAGAGGACCCAGGTTTGATTCCCAGCACCCACATGCATGCAGGCAATACACTCATTCACATAAAATAAAAATAATAAATTTAAAAAAATTTTTTAAGCAAAAAAAGGAGTGGAAATACCATTCAGTGGTAGAGCCTAGCATACAATGTAGCCTTAGAGCATGAAAGCTCTATATTCAGTCCTCATGTACTATCAGAAAGAGAAGTCAGTTTTAACTTCCCCCATTTTATAGAGGAGGAAACTGAAGTAGAGAGAGGTAGTTAAGTCTCAAAAATTGAACTCTAATCTGTATCTTCTTTAGGTAATACTTTGTAATACAGTATTCATTAATACCATGAGGCCAGAGACTTTCCAGTGTGTTAGAGGAATAAGATAAGTGTGAGTATAGCTGAATGAGTGATAAAATTGGCAGAACTAGGGTGTAAATGGTGGTAATGGGGAAGGGCATGAGACGAGTAGATTTAATTCAGCTTAAGCCATTGTGAAGGCTAGTCTTTTAGTCCCAAGTGAAAAGCTGTTGCATGGCTTTGAAAAGGGTACTGACATTGCTCTTGTCCTTCGATCTCTTTGCTTGGAGTCTATAAATAGAATTCAGGAGACTGAGCACTTAGGAAAAATATCATCTTTATTTTCATTAACTTGTAAGTGAAACTGTTTTCACTTGACAATATAGTCAGTAAACCAAAGTATCCTTTTATGTTTAATGTTTGTGTGTATGTGTCTCTGTTTGTGATGTGTGTGTATGATACATATGTGAGAGTAGGTATGTGAGCAAGTGTGTATGTTCACAAGACACATTTTGAGGTCACAGGACAACTTTTTCTCCTTCCACTCTGATTGTGAAGAGATCAATCTCTGGTCAACAGGCTTGCACAACAAGTGCCTTTACCTGCTGAGCCGTCTTGCTAGCCCACCAAAGTAGTGTTAAAGGAGTCTGACTGTCACTCTCTCCCCACTGCCCCCAAATAGTTATTAGATTCATGGCTAGATCCCTTTTAAGATAATAATGAAGAATCACATAATATTGCAGTTTGGTTTTCATATTTATATGTTTTGATGACTATATCAATATAATACGTTTCCTTTAGAATGTGTATTTTTTGTATGTTTAAGATGTCTATTTGTGACTTGATATTTCTACTTACTTTTCCATGACATATACAGTTATTAAAAAGAATGAAGTAAACCTATATATAGAAGTAGTTTGAACTTGTTTCTGAATATTTTAGTGTTTACAATATGTATCTATATATTAGGTAACTTTAAAAGTGAAAAATGTGGGGACTGGAAAGATGGCTCTGTAGTTTAGAGCACTGACTGTTCTTGCAGAGGACCTAAGTTTGAATCCCAGCATCCACATGGTGGCTAACAACCCTCTGTAACTCCAATTCCAGAGGATCTGGCACCCTCTTCTGTCCTCTATAGGCATTGCATGATACAGGTACACTTAAATACATTAGGCACTCGGACACATACAATAAAAATAAATAAATTATAAGAATTTTTTTTTTTTGGTCTTTTTGGGATAGTGTCTCCCTGTAGCCACAGCTGGCCTAGAACTCACAATGTAGACCAGGCTGGTCTTGAACTCACAGAGATCCTCCTGGTTCTCTCTCCCAAGTGCTATAAAAAAATTTTTTTAATGAAAAAATGTGTGGTAAGCATTTAAAAGTACTTGCGTGGTCATTTAGAAGGAATAAAAGATCTGTATATGCCACCATGGATGGTCCTTACAAAACAAACCAAAATAAGGTGACGAACACAATATTTAGGTGCATTGCAGTCATGGTAAATGTAATAGAGAAAAAGACTGAGTGGGCAAGAAGGCTCTCATTTTTTAAAAAACGGTTGTTTTATTAGCCTTGTACATACTAATTTTTTTAATTGTCATTGATTCATATGGGAGGGGTAAAAGTGGATGCTTTACTTTTGTATTTTTTATAAAGCTTATGTTACAGTTTTTAAAATGGGTATATATCATGTTATAGATACAGTGTGACATTTATGTGAACTGAAGGTAGAAAAATCATTTTTAGAGTATAATATCTTTCATGAATAAGCCATGACTGTATACATATATGACTGGAGGAAAAGATGAAGGCTGAAACAAAATATTTTCTCTGCATGATTTAATTTGGGGTGATTTAAATTTAATTTTTTTTTTTTATAGACTATGAGAAGACAGCGAAATGAAGTTGTAGTTGAATTAAGGAAGGTGAGTCTGGTTAATTTGTACTCTGAGGCATAATTCTGATAATATTAAAGCATATATAGAAAATACCAAAAGTATTTCTTGTAAAACATACAACCTGTTGAATAATAGAAATTTATTTGCTGAATATAGTTACACTTATTTCTGTCTCAAATGCTCAGTATTTCTTTTTCTTTTGAAAAAGAATTTTTTACTACACCTGGAAAGCTATTGAAATTGGCAAGATACAACCTGCTCACAGTCTAACAATAGATATAAACAAGCTGTGGTATTGTTTTTGTAACTTTCAATTATATATGTGAAGTCTAAGGCAGAGAGATACTGTTAAACTTGGTGGTTCTGCTGTTACCAGGTAGCAGCTACACTGAGAAGAACTTACTGTTTATTATTTCCCTGATTTTTCAAGTATTAAAGTAGACTATAGTTGTGAATATAATTGTAAATTTGCCCAGATGTTCCAAATGTTCCAAGTGAAATTTAAACAGCCCTTGATTTTGGTAGATTTTTTAGAAAATACTTTATTATTTTGGCAGATTTTTTTTTAATATTTTAATTTTATGTGTATGAGTGTATTGCCTGCATGTATGTGAGTGCACCTGTG